TTCTGTTCCCTAGATTCACTCCCTCCACCCTCCCCCTTAGCATTCTAACAAAATGTAACAATACTGAACGGATTGTATAAAATCCTTAAAAGCTGCTGAGTTATTTTAGTCTGTAGAGATTCTCCGTCATCCAGGTCACGGTTGTCTCAAAGATGCTTTTTCAGGAGGCAACTGGACTTTCTTCTTTTTCTTTTGAAGATGTTTTGCTTCTCATCCAAGAAGCTTCTTCAGCTCTGACAGGATGGTAGGGAATGGAAGGATTTATATTCCTTGCAGACAGCTGGTCATTTGCATGCTTGGAGGTTTCTCTGTATCCTTGGAGTTACCTGAGCTCCTGGTTCCTGTAGTCTGCCATTTCCCCCCAGTCTGGAAATCCATTCTAATCCCATACCATTCTAACCACTTGGAGTTCATCCCAAATTGTATAGCTAAAAGTCTGTAGAGAGTCTCAGTCTAAAAGGATGCAAATGACCAGCTGTCTGCAAGGAATATAAATCCTTCCATTCCCTACTATCCTGTCAGAGCTGAAGAAGCTTCTTGGATGAGAGGCAAAACATCTTCAAAAGAAAAACAAGAAAGTCCAGTTGCCTCCTGAAAAAGCATCTTTGGGACAACCATGACCTGGATGACTGAGAATCTTCCCAGGTAGTGGAGATTTATCAGTGTGATGACTCCAAGACTTTTAAGAAGGATGGTTTGTCCAAGTAAGAATTATTTTGGAAGCTGCACCATGCCCAATAGCAAAAGCACCATATCAAACTTCATCCCACCCATCACCGCTTTCTGACAGACCAGCCTCTAAAGTGGAGATACCACCCCAAAATAAAGACCCATATAAACCAGCCTAAAGTCTACAAATCTTGGGCCACAGAAATCTCCATAAACACCATTATATTCCTGGGTAATGGTGTTGTCACTGGCAAATCCTTTCAACCCAGAAGCAACTTTTGGTTAACTTTGTTGGTGCTTCTGACACAAATACAGACAATTGCTATTCTAGTAACTGGGTGTGAGAGTGGATAGACCTGTTTTAGACCGGGAAGGATACCGAAGTCATGATTTTTATAGTACTCACTTGCTTCCCAAAACTCAACAGCTGATCAAGACACTATGAGTACAAAATGCTGTTTACCACAGGCCCCACAGACATTATTGAACGTTTTTTTTTTCCCCCAGTGGAAATTTTTTTACTGGGCAGGGTATGGTGGGATAGGATTGAAAATATAAGATTCTATGACCTTTGCCAGAATATGGGAAATGGAAAGCAATCACAAACATCTTGGGATCTGCCCATATTGGAGAAAGCAATACAGAATTGGCTGGAAAGATTGCTGGGAAAGCCTGTCTTGGCCCAGAAAATGAAATATTTTGGGGGATATTAAAAGAGGCAGAATATTATATTTCTCAAGCAGCCTCAAGCAAAGTCTTTAGAGAGGGACATTTTGCGCCCATTAAGAAATCAGGGGCAGCCTATTCATAAAGAAAAGCTCCCACAGAAGACTGGAGCTGATGGGATTTAAAATTTACATCCCCACCCCACCCAAATTCTAAGGATATGACCTTTATGACATAATAGGATTAACCCACCACCATTGAAATAGTAAAAGATACAAGGCTCACTTCATTGCACAACCCCCCTGGAGCATCTCAAACCTCAGAACCATATAAAAACCCATCCAATTACTCAGCTATTTTGTCAGCCACCCCAGAAACATTCTGCTGTCACTGAAGATTCTGGAAACCAAATAAACAGAGACCTTATTTCCTTGTAGCCAACCTGATTTTTTTTAATTTCCCCCATCTTGGAACCAGACTGGATTTTTTTTCCCCACGAGATCATCTGGTCCAACGATCAGCAATTTTCAGGAAAACCAATATCCTTTTGAGGTGGCTATCCAACCTCTCTTGAAATACCCCGGAGATGGAAGTATTTAGAACATCAGTAGACTGTTCCACTGCTTTATGGATCATATAATGAGGAAGTTTTTCCTTATATTTAAGTAAAATTAGGGAACAATTCAAATTCTACCCTATTTCCCTGAAAATAAGACCTCCCTGGATAATAAGCTCAATTGGGCTTTTGAGTGCATGCACTAAAATAAGTCCTCTCCTGAAAATAAGCCCTCCCCGAAAATATTGCAACACAGCAGCAGCCATGAGGTGACCACGCTGGCTGCCTCCTGCACCTCAAAAATNATTCAATATGGTTACTGCCCTGGGATAGAAGCTGTTTTTCAGCCTATTTGTCCTTGTTTTTATTATCCTGTACCGTCTGCCAGATGGTAATAGTTAAAAAAAAAGGTGCCCAGGATGAAATGGATCTTTAAGAATGCTTTGAACTTTCTTAAGGCAGCGGGAGCTATAAAGCTCTGCCAAGGAGAGGAGAGGGCAACTGATGATCCTCAGGGCAATGACATTGACCCTCTGGAGTGCTGTCCTATCTGCCACTGTGCAATTGGCAAACCCTACGCAGATGCAATAAGTTAAAATACTCTCTAAGGTGCAGCGGTAGAAGGTCACCAGTAGTTTTTTATTCATTTTCTGTTTCCTGAGTAGTCTCAGGTAGTATAATCTCTGCTGGGCCCTTTTGACTAGTGCTGCAATGTGAGAGCCCCAAGTCAGCTCCTCTTTTATGATAAAACCCAGAAACTTAAAACTGGCCACTTGCTCCACTCGGTCTCCATTGATTAGCAAGGCCCGGATGTCTGGTCTGTAGTCCACTATAAGCTCCTGAGTCATATTGGTGTTAAGGAGCAAGTTATTGGGGTTCTTTTGCACTTAATTGTGGTCGTATGTCGAGGACATCCTATATTTAAGAGCTTCAACCACTTTCTCCTCTTCCCCTTCTTCAAATAAGGAATTATTCTCTCTGCAAGCTCTTGCATGTTGGACAATAATTCAAAAATTGCCCTCCTCACTTCCCTGAGGTTTTCCAATAAGAGTTATTTATTTTTTAATCTTTTAACTTGAGAGGTGCTAATCAGGAGCAGTGGCTCAGTGGTTAAAGTCGCTGAGCTTGTCGATCAGAAAGGTCGGCAGTTCAGCTGTTCGAATCCCTAGCGCCGCATAATGGAGTGAGCTCCCGTTACTTGCCCCAGCTTCTGCCAACCTAGCAGTTCGAAAGCATGTAAAAATGTTAGTAGAAAAATAGGGAACCACCTTTGGTGGGAAGATAACAGTGTTCTGTGCGCCTTCGGCGTTTAGTCATGCCAGCCCCATGACCACAGAGTTGTCTTTGGACAGCGCTGGCTCTTCGCCTTTAAAATGGAGGTGTCTGGAACGACTTGCACATATGTGCAAGGGGAACCTTTACCTTTACGTAATCAGAATGAAGGGATCCATAAGGGACCAGTCTAGAGGAAGTCATCCCATGTAGGGTGACACACCTTTCCTTTCTTCAGATCCTGATTGATAAGATGTTTTCCCCAACTGCTGGGCTTGTAAGGCAGGATGCTAAAGAATGAAACCTTGTTTAGAAGCCTATAAAGGCTTATTCAATCAGAACCCACCTTTCAACTGAGACTTGGGGGAGATCCGTGGGTTGGCAAAGGGAATTAACATTTCATACCATCTGACTTGGGCGGAAAGTAGAGTTTTCTGAGATGCATCCATACTGCAATCCTCTGATTTGTGGCTAATAATAATAGCTTGGTTTGTCCAACCTGTGAAATCAAACCCTGGTTTATACTATGCTCTACTGGCTCCGTTGTTACTTCCTCTAACCCCCCCAAGCTTTAACCTTAACTGATTATCGTGGACCTCACACCATTCCTAAGAGATCCGTAAAGGGAGCGTGCATAAGTGCACCAGCGTGCCTATCGTCCCTGTCCTACTGTCCCCATTTATTTGCACACATTTCATGTGCTCATGTCCATGTTTATACTTATACCTTGTTATCTCATTCATGTTTGACAAAATAAACTAACTCAGTGTTTTTCAACCACTGTGC